TCTTGATGCACTGACACCAGCCTCAGTCCACTCCTTATGAAGCTCCCCCAGATTTCTGAATCGCCCTTGCTTGACAATCCTCTCAAGGCTGCGGTCATCCCTGTCACTTTTGCACCTTTTCTGGCCACATTCTTCCCTTCTTCTTAACACTCTGTTAATATACTTTGATACTGCGCTCTGTGAGCATCCAGCTTCTTTTGCAATTGCCTTTTGAGTCTTTTCCTCCTTATGGAGGGTGTCAATGATGGTCGTCTGCACAACTGTCAAGTCAGCAGTCTTCCCCATGGTTCTGAAGCCTACTAAGCCAGACTGAGACAATTTCAAGGCTGAGGAAACCTTTGCAGGTGTTTTGCATTAATTAGCTGACTAGATTGGGACACAGGGAGCCTACAATGTTGAACTTTGTCATGATATTTTAATTTTGTGAATTACTGGATTTGGGTTTTTTTGTCTTTGATCCATAATCATCAAAATTGAAACAAATAAAGGCTTGAAATATTTCACTTTGTCTGTAGTGAACTAATATAACATACAAGTTTCACTTTTTGAAACAAATTATTGAAATAAATGGACTTTTCCTTGATATTCCAATTTTTTGGCACATACCTGTATTTATGAACAAACGTCAGTCAACATTAACAACAATAAAGAGTTCTGGTCGGGTTTGCAGAACACATGTGCGCTGTTCTCAAGCTAACTAACACTGCAGAGTCCCAAAAAACAAATCCACGAGTTTAGCAAGGAAGGTGTACCGTAACGTTAGTAAGTTACATAAATTCTCACTGCAAAGCGTCAAATCTCAGAAGTCTATTACCAGACAAAATGGTGGTCTGACCGTTATATTGTTAGCTAACAGCGTGAACGTTGGCTAACCGTTTACAGCTAGCGGTAAAATAAAGTTTGGTATTTCGACCCAAAGGTGACCTTTTACAGCATAGCTGCAATTAATTCTTACAACTACATTAGCTTGAAATGATGGAGTTATTAACGTAGTCCCATGTTTAATTTACCTGTAATCTTAATTAACTTACCAGTGAATCTTCCTTCGCCGCGTTTAAAAATCACGAGCACGTTAACGCCCAGAAGTTCAACAGGTCACTCCTGGTTACTTCCTTATTTTGTTTTGAATGTCGCATGGCTGTATAATGTTTAACTTATATGTTCTTAGTAGTATGTTAATAACTATTAAACTAATCTAATCTAGTAAAAAAAAAAAAAAAAAAAACTATACTACGCGATCTTTTCGAAAACGGATGAAGGATGAATATTTTAGCTAAATAGTAAAATATGTTGCCTTTAAGTGAGGTCGGAAATTTTAGCGCGTTTATTTTGCCATTATTGTACAGTACAGCCATTAGATTCTTTAAAAAGTGAATTAAAAACACCTCGACGCCTTGTAAGTTAATAACACCAATTTCATGTCACTTTACAATTTTGGTTTTATTTCCAAGCAAAAGAATTTGCTATATTCGCAACATTTTGAATACAAACATGGGCCCAGTAAATACAGAGCTCTATAAAATGCATGACTTCCAACACCTATTAGGCTATACACAGCAGTTATGAATAGACTTGTATAACCAGATTTAATAACACAGATCTAGAATGACAAGCATACCATTTTACTGAAACTGTAGGGCACACCACCCTTGTCCAGAATTGATTTTATGGAAGCTGCTGTGATGATGTACAAAAGTTCATATTTAATCTTGACTGTATATATAATGCAGCAGTTCAGTTCTGATCATTGAGAGTCTGTGGATTTTTTTTTTTTTAACAGTCTGATGCTGGTGTGACTGCAATTTCTGGTAGCGATTGTGATGCAGCTTGGCCCCTCTGTGTTTGAGACGCCATGACCCAAGCCCGCACCACTGTGTCTGATTGGGGAGATGAGGATGCCTGCAGTGAGGAAGATGAGGAGAGGTGGTGCTTTCTGAGCAGGATCAGATGAGGGTTTCGCAACAAGGTATAAAACAATAACCAACGCCTCCTGACCCGGCTATTCACAGGGGGTTCTGGAAATAAGAAGTGATAAGGAAAGCAAGGAATAAGCAGGAGGAAAATTAATTCTCATATAACATAAGCATCATTATAAGATGAAGGTAGACAGGGTCAAACATAACGGCAAATGCAAAAAATGAAATGTAAATGCAATTTAAAAGCCAAGAGGAACTATTTAATGGATGACTTGATTAATGGATATTTTCTTTCTCACACACACACATACACACTACTGACCATATAGTGTATTGTTGAATGTGGAGTATGTAGACACAGTGGGTCTCTCGTGCATTTTGGAGAGCAGTAGCTGGCAGAAACACACCATGACTGGGTTGCTATGATAGTGGTCAGCAAAGATCATCCCAATCCAGGTACTATACCCTGGAATTAGTAGGAAATACTGTTAGATCCACATACCATGAGGTGAAAGAGAAGGAGCTCTGCTTTTACAGTACATTATTTTTAACAATAATTAGGTTTGAGGTTGTTGCACAACTGAGGAAAAGATGACTAATTCACATTTGCATATGAATTATACTCTGAAACTCATCTTTTCACAGGTTTACTTCATAAGAGCAACACAAAACTAGCAAAAGTTGTTATTCCTGGTTCAAATATAATATAACAATACAGATAAAAATACAGGCTGGTTTGTAATAAGTTTGTCGGATCAGTCTCTGACAGAAACTGTTAAGTTTAATAATTTCATTTTTACTGCCCAGGAAGGATAGTGACAAATCTCTTCCAGGCTGTCACAAAGAGCTTCCTTTTTATATTGCTTCTTGACATGAAATATCTAACATTTGTTTTGGTACTAATCAACATCCATGAATATATAAAGATTTTATATTAAATACATAAATCCACATCTCCAAGTGATAGCGTTTTTCACAGTCACACACTTTTGGATCACAGAAACACCTGTGATTCTCTGTGAAATGCTGCCATCTCTTGGATATTAATAATAGTCGTTCTACCACTACAGTATTGGGTTTGGCTGTTATATTTTGTGGTATTACATCTGTAAATCAGCCCCTCTAATAATACCTTAAAACATTATTTTACTTTTGGTTAGCACATATTTTTGGTTGACTTTACCCGCGTCCATGGTTTCATATCCTCTCTGCATGATGGTTCGATCAATACGGGACACCAGCCATGTTCCCACCACAATGCTGCACAGCAGCCTCACTATGCAGTTGCTTACTCCCATCACCACATTATAGAAAAAGAAGAAGTAGTTGAAGCAGTGGAACGCCTTCCTGGAGAAGAGGAGAAGAAACTCTTTTTAAATTGAAAGGCCATCATGCAGATATCTATCTAATTATATTCACTGCTTCTGGTTTTGACACACTGGGATTTTTCACGCTGTAAAATACCATCACACCATCTGCTCGGTCCAGCAAGTCACTTTACATGACTGAGTATGTGAGTAAGTTGTTGAATATTAGTTTGCATTATTTCAAAGGTCAAGGTCAAAGGTCAAAGTGTTTGTCATATACACTGTTAGGAAACGTGTATCCTTGTACAATCTTACTTTGCCATCTACATGAATGCCACACAATACAAGTGAAATATAAAGTAGATGAGCAATAACAAATCTAAATAGGCAGTAATACAAATCTAAGGCACTTTAAAGCAGAACATTATATGTTCTTTGCTTTATTTGTTCTCATTTGCTCTATGTGCATTATTTTGTTTTTATTTGTTTTATTTTAATCTATACAAGGCTGATAAGTGTGATACAGGTGGAAGTGAGAAAGGTCACTAGGGGATGACCCCAGTAGCCTTAAATCAGGCAAGAAAGAGAAAAAAAAACCTATCAGTTTATTGTTTGGATGGCTGCCAAGACTGAGGATTTTGGCCTTGACAGCAGGAGAGGAGAGTCACAGCACAGCCCTCAGTTGTGAAGTTGTGTAAAAGGGGGATTTTTTTATATTATGTGGAGAATCATTACTTTTGCTTATTTGTCTAACAACTGATAGTACTCAGGTCATTACTCTGTCTGGTGATCTCAAATATGCCATCTGTGGACACCTGCCTGTCATAGTGGCATCAAATTAATATTGTCTGTCATCTTATGACAGATTAATGTGTCTGCTTTTCACTTCTTAATGGGTTAGACACATTCGCATGAGAGATTGATGTGTTGTGTATTACCTCATGTCACTTTAATGATATTGTTGACATGTTTATTATGTTTGGATGGTTTGAAGTGTACCATTAATCAGAAACATGCATCAACAAGGTATTGTTTGCTCATTAATAATGTCAATCTGACGTTGAACCTGAAGGAGTCGGCATGACTTGCATTTGCCATGTGATGTCATTTTAATTTTTTAGAAGCCTATATTGAACATAATAATAGTATATCCCTAAGTAGGTCAGAGAGAAAGGTGGGATGAAGCAAGGAGGAATTATAGTGGATATAAAAGGGATGTCTTAAGCTCTGTAGTCATTCTGCTCCATGGACTGGAAATAGGTGCTATTGGGGTGTTTTTTTTAATTTTTTTTCCCAATTGTATACTTTGTAACAGACTATTTATAAAGACTTTGAGTCTTTTTTGACAGCAGACAGAGAACTGTGTGAGTGAGAACTGGACCCTCAGTAACCCAGAGAAAAGTTCTCTCACTAAGTAAATGTTTTATGACTTCGCTAATGTCCTCAAATAGTCCACATTCCACAGCTGATAATGCTGCTTCCATGTAATGTCGTTTAAACCGTATTAATGAGCAACTGAGTGGGAAAAACCATTCATGTCAACCTCTGACTTGTAATTCAGAGTCGGAGAAATAGGGAATTTCTGATGACTACAATTTCTCCCACTTGGCAGAGAGGACTGTGGAAGGGTCATCATCGTAAGATCAAAAATGGCTTCAAAACAACCACCACCAGCAGTTACCCCTAATTTCACTTGTAAAGGAACAAGAAATATGCATAAAGTTACTAAGCAACATAGCACGCTACTGGTATTTTGTGGTCACACAGAATAAAATGTTATTCATGTTAAAGGTCAACTGACAAATTATCCAAAGTATATAAATAAATAGTATATGAATATCCAAAGTAGCCTAATGCTAAAAATGCAATTTCATTGTTTAAAACAGTAAGTGTAAAAAGCTGTAGTGTCAGCCTAGATAATCTGACCCTGGGAGTAAACGTTACTTACATTGTGTGGCCACACAAAATAAAATAATGTTACAGTTAACCCTCCTGTTATATTGTAAACGGTGTAAAGTTAAAACATCAAAAAACAATAGTTTAAAGTGTTTTAACGGTATGAAACTTCTTCTGCTTGGCTTAATAGGTGTAATCAACATATAAAATGAAAATGGTTCATTTCACATATTTACAACTTCCCCCTGCATGTTTATATTACAAAGATACTGTTCGGGTCAATCTGACCCTGAACAGAAGAGGTGTCTTGTTAATTTATCAACATCACTTCATAAAAAGAAAAGATTTCAAAATGTAAAATAAACTTTAAAAAACCAATGGCACGCAAAAATAATGTATTTTATCTGTGGGTCTTTCCAATGTACATTAAAAAAAGGTTTAACATGCATTTTTTATGACAAACGAGTGTATTATCTTCATTGAACCATAATCTGTGAGAGGTGAAGAACACCATTGCACTAAATAGTGATTGAAATGGTTAGTAATGATAAAGTTAACCCAGGAACATCACTGCTGTTCCTTAGAAATGAACATAACAGGAGGGTTAAATGACACAAACTAGCCTTAATTGCAGCACGGCGGACAGCTGCTACCTTGGACTACTGCGTGAATGCTCCCAGGCTGTTTTTATGGGAGCTATTTCCATCCTCCTCATTCTGCCAACATGATGTGAATGTAACATATGTGGCAGTAAAACCAGCTGTGCTTTGGCACTGCCTTTCAACTACCACTTCCCATTTCAACAGTTAGTGTTTGTTGGCAAACTGGTTTTAGTGCAACATCCCTTTAATGTGTTTATGACCTATACTGAAATATATCCACCTGTTGTTAATAGCCAGAGGTTTCCGTTTATCAGCTGGAGACATTTTATCCTGAAGGAAGAAGATCTGGACCAGAACTATCTGGAGAATCACCAAGCCCACCACCAGACCGATGGTCAGACTAAGAGACCCAAGAGAAAAGTCCGTCAATCTATCAGTGAGTCTACAGTATCTAATCCTTAATTTATATGTCATCACACATTCAAAACCACAGGGAAAGCAACCTTACACTATAATTCCCAGATTGGTGAGCATCTGCAGTACTTTTCCATGTTGTACAGGAAGAACCAGGGCATAGACAAGCAGCAGGGCAAACAGGAATTGTACAAAATGGACAATCAGGTAGCCTAAAAAATACAGAAGAGACATCTGCAGTTGTGGTGTAAGTCAGGAGAAATGGAACGTGTCGTCCCCTAACTATAGGGTTGGCAATTCAATCCCTGGCTTCTCCAGTCCACATTTTGAAGTGGTGTGTACGTGTCTGTGTGGGCGGGGGGTGAATGAGCAAAAGGATTTAACCCACTTTGAGTGCACTTAAGTGCTTTGAACAGCAGTATATAAGTATAAATCCATTCTCCATTCACTCGTCCCATCTCAAAATGTACAAATTCAATTTTGGAACAAAAACTATAGGTATAGCTTGATGTAAAGAGGTTTTATTTACTCCTAAAAACATCATCACAAAGGTAATGGTTCAAAATTTTCACTATACACACATTTGCTGCATAATTGTAATAATGTTTATAACTAAGTAAACCAAATGAATTACATGTATATCACATCAGCTTCAGACCATCCATTTTTCTTCCGCTTATCCGGGGCCGGGTCGCGGGGGCAGCAGTCTAAGCAAAGATGCCCAGACCTCTCTCTCTCCAGACACTTCCTCCAGCTCCTCCGGGGGAATGCCAAGGCGTTCCCAGGCCAGCCGAGAGACATAGTCCCTCCAGCGTGTCCTGGGTCTTC